TTTGCCTGATGACCTCTGAAGGCAACAGCCCTCAAAGTGCCCTGGCCTCCTGAAAACAACCCTCCAGGGACTACCAAAAGCTTCGGCCCAGCTCCTGCCTCCCAGCCAACCTTCCTGGTCCCTCCTGGTCCTTCAGAGCATCCTCCTGATTCAGGACATGCTGCAGCTCTCTGCTGCCCTCCCCCTGCATCAGCTCAAAAGGACTCTCCTGTCTCCTGGATTCCCAGCTCACCTGGAGGGTTCTCCAGCCACTTCTTCCCTTCCAGCAGCTCACCCGAGTTCTCCAGCCCCTGTTCCCTTTCCAGGCCCTTCTTTCCTTCCAGCAGCAGCCCTGGGTCCCTCAGCCCCTGCTCCCCTTCCAGCAGCTCATCCAACAGGCAGGTGGTGGCAGGTTACTGCTCTCCTTCCAGCTGCTGTGCCCTCGTGGAAGGGAACAGCCTGATGGTTCCTGGCTGCTCTCCCAGTACTCCAGTTCACCTTTCTGCTGCTTTTCAAGCTGCAGGATGGTTTCCTACATGCCCAGCTGCTCCTCCCTCTGCTCCTGCACTTTTGCCTCCTACCTGAGGTAGAGGTGAGGTGGGGTCATTTAATGCTGGTTGGTTTTGGGGGGTGAGAGAGGGGATGTCACCTGGGCCTGCCAAATGTGTCCCCTCCATCTCAGGTCCTTGCTGAGACCCTACTTTTGCTTCCCCAGATACACAGGCCTCCCTTGCACTCCCCAGTCTTGGAGTTTGGCCAAGCTTTACCCCAGTTCTTTTGGAAATTGGACTCTGGATCATCCCAGAAAACATGTGGGAACTGGAACACACCTGCACTGCTCCCCCTTTCCTGTGGCCCCACTGCTTCCCCTGGGGGAAGGTTTCTCTCTGTGCTCCATGTGACAGGACTGAATCATCCCTTGGCCTTGGGAACAGCTATGCAAGGAATATGTGTTAGTAAAAGCATAAATATCAGTGCCTGTGTCCTGCTTTTGGCTGGGATGGAGTTAATTTTCCTCCCAGTAGCTGAGTTTTGGATTTAGGATGGGAGCAATGTTGATAACACACCGATGTTGTGGTTGTTGCTGAGTTGTGCTTACTCTGAGGCAAGGAATTCTCAGTTTCCCAGGGGCTCAAGGAGCTGGGGGGGGAGCACAGCCAGGACAACTGAGGGATATTCCATTCCATAAACACCCTGCCCAGTAGAGAAACGGGGAAGGGGCCAATTGGGGCCAATCCCCCTGCTGTGGGACGAGTCAGTGAGTGCTGAGCAACTGTTGTGCAGCTCTTGTTTCCCTTGGGTTTCATTCCTCCCTTTCTCCTTTTCACTAAAATTATTAGAATTATTATCATTACTATCATTATAATTCTTCTTCACCCAAGACTTGTTTTAATCAGCTGGTGGTTCTCATCTACAGGCCTGGACTTTGGTTTCTCCTAAAACATTCTGCCAAAACTTCACACTTTGAGCAATAGTCCCATGGCCTGGGAGTCTGTCAGAACTTTGTCCTTCTAAGTGCATCTCTTTGGAAATGAATTCAACAATTCTTTAAGGTTCCCTAAACTGAACTGGATGCCCCTGCTGGCAGAATTCATATTGTTTCCTCATACCAGGTGGCAAAACAGTGTTTTCAGTCGGAATTGGAACTCCAAAGGAAAGAAAGGCCTAAAAGAGTCCAAAAGGGAGGGAAATAAAGCTCATCACTGCATTACAACCCAGTCATGTTCCTTATTCTGACAGTTTGTGGACACTTGATCCTCCCAGGCCTTTATCTCACTGAGTTCTGGTTAAGCTACTCCAGCTTTAGTAGAAGAGGGGACCTCAAGAGCAGAGCATAAATAATTTAACCTCTAATGAAATCAATGTTCCACTACTAGGATGATCTAGAATTGAGCCATATTTTAAGTTTCATTGAACCTTAATTTAAGTGGTTTGGGGCCCCAGCTGAAGAGTGTGTAGGATGCAGCACCGTGTTTGCCGTGTGGGGATTCACTGAATGAGTAAAACCTTCTCTAGAAAGTGGGGGCTGCTTGTTTCTTGGCTCTGATGGTTCCAGGGATGCTCTTTTCCTTAGAAATTGTGGGAGGTCTTTCCATGGACAGTCCATGTCTTAGAGTAAGACCCTGTTCCCCTGCTGGGATGGGAAAGAGGCCGTGTGGGGATGACACACATGGAGACACGTGTGTGGTTCTTAAATGGGCATGAGATGGGACCCTAGTGGGGGTCTCTGGTCAGGCCCCACCTGCAGTGCTGCCTCCAGCTCTGGGATCCCAAAATAAGGATGTGGAGCTGCTGGAGTGAGTCCAGAGGAGGCCACAGAGCTCCTCCAAGGGCTGGAGCCCCTCTGCTCTGCAGCCAGGCTGGGAGAGCTGGGGGTGCTCACCTGGAAAAGGCTCCAGGGAGACCTGAGAGCCCCTTCCAGTGCCTAAAGGGGCTCCAGGAGAGCTGGAGAGGGACTTGGGACAAGGGATGGAGGGACAGGACACAGGAAATGGCTTCCCACTGCCAGAGGGCAGGGGCAGATGGGATATTGGGAAGGAATTCCTCCCTGCCAGGTCTGTAACACCCGAGAGCCCTCTCAGGCTGTGGTAGGTCAAGGTTAAGCCTCCAGAGCATCTACAAGGGATAAAAGTGACTTTCTGGGAAGGCAAAGCCTTGGGCTGTGGGAGGAAACGAAGCCTGACTGCTGCAGGTCGCAGGTCAGACCCAAGGCTTTGTGCCCTGACACCACCAAACCTTCAGCACTGATCTCATCTAGGCCAGCGACTCCCAACCCGCGCTCCGTGTCTGGTCCGTGGGATCCCCAGCAGATCCCAAGGAAGCAGCGGAGCGCGGCAGAGGCGCCGCCGGCAAACCCGGGGCTGGGAAGGCTCCGCATCCCGCCGATTTTCCATATTTTTAGCGCCCGAGGTGAGCTCTGTGGGCATGTTGGGGGGGGGGGCAGAACAGGGGAAACACGGCTCTGCCTTTGCCTTCCGCGCTCCTCGTGTTCCCTTTGTCCGGCCGGCGGCTCCCGGAGCTGTTCCGGCAGCGCCATTCCCGCGTCCCCACCCCGGCGTCTCTCCCCCCTCCCAACCACCAGTTTTCCTGCTTTTATCCCTTCTATCTTTCCTCTTGGCTCACGCTTTGCCCCATCCAATGGGTGTTTTAAGCAGAACGTTTTCACCTCTGATTTCCTCGTGGCATCAGTTTTGGGGACAAACGTCCTCCCGGACCAGCCCTTTCTGGCGGCTCACGCGGCCACGCCAGGGCCCTGCCGTGTCACCCAGGCCCTGCTCGTCACCCAGGCCACGTTTTTCCCGAGCAGGACCCTAGACAAGCCCCAGAAGCCCCTCCTAAGAGCTCTTGGCCTGGGAAGTTAGAGCCCTTTTGCGGATTCTTTGGATTATTCCGATTATTCGGTTTATTCGCATTATTCGGTTTATTCGGATTATTCGCATCACGTAGGGCCTGGAGCCCCCCCGGAAGGGTCGGTAGGGCCTGGAGCCCTCTCCGTGGTGGGTTAGAGGAGTGGAGGGGGTGGGACCCCTCGGGTGGGGTGCACTCGGAGGAGAGTCATTGGGGTCCCCTCTCCCACTGGGGCTCTCCGGGGCCCGGCTTTTAGGACAACAAATGGACAATTTAGGACAATGAGAGGTGATGGATCCTGTTGCCTTGGCAATTTGGGGGGGGTTTCCCCCCTGCGCAGCGGAGGCGGGGGGACACCGAGTCATGAGCCACGTCGCTGGCTGGGCGATCCCCGTTGCCGCCCCCAAGAGCGCCGGTTCCAGCGGGTGTTTTCTCGGTCCCGTCCCCCCTCTTCCCCCCCAGTTTCCAAACCCCGGGGGGGGGTTCGGCGGCCCCGCCCCGCGCGCGCGTTCCCGCCACCGGCGGCCAATGGGCGCGCGCGGGGCGCGCACGGGGCTTTTCCGCGCCAAACTCCAAAGCCCGCGGGAGAGCGCGGGCGGCACCGGCTCCAGCACCGCCACCGGGGACCCCCCCCAGGGACCCCCCCAACCCCGGCACCGCCGCCCCGGTGAGTCCT